GTTCTGGTAAATGTTGCTTCCGACGTCTGTTTGGACGTATCTCTGAGCAACCCTAACCATAAGCAGCATTCTTAATCAAGAATAACCTTTGTGATTTAAACAATGATTTTCTTGCTTGACATTTTTAGGCTAACTGAATTTCACCATTCCCACCCACCACCCAGGCCTTAACTTTGAGATGCAGAAGAGAAGATAAACAATAGCTGTAATTCAATTTTAAAAAGTATTTCACCTGGATTGCATGTACTGGCAGCAAATTGTTGTTTAATTAATAACCTACAATTAGTGGTTAGACTGTGATTTAACCCACAATTAAGCTATAGTATCTGAGTTTGAACATCACATAGCAATCTCTGATCAGCCTGCTTCGGCTGATAGTAAATAGTAAAAAGTATTTTACTTGAATAGTAAAAACAAACAACAAAAAAGGCTGTTGTATATGCCTGTGAAATGCGTTGCTGAATGTTAGATGAATCAACCTTTGATTTTTCATCATTGCATATGAACAGCTGCTTTGCTGATACGTAACTTCAGTTGTCAACTTGCAGAGTTTGCATGTATTCCCTCCTCCTGCCTTCCTTCTTCCCATTTTACATTAAGTTTCATTCTGAAAGTACAACTGTTAGGAGTGCGCACTTTTTTTCTTTCATAGTACAAATATTTTTCTGCACACTTGTAGCCTATTTAGTTGCGTCTTGCTCCCTACAGATAGATATTCAAAATCATACCATCTTGGACAGCAGGGGGAGTTTGGAGTTGAATATTTGGACGTTTTGCCTTGTCGCTTACATGTTGCTTTTCCTCCCTTGTACTTGGGCATGGAGTAACTGAGGAATGCAAATCCCAGAATCTTTGAAAGCTGTCACCCGCTTTTTAAATTCAAGTGTTGATATGTTCATATGGAGTTATGTCTCTGTGTTATCCCTGACCCATGAACATCTCATGAGAAGGCATTTGAATTGTAGCTTTACTGTTCCACAGATCTTCTCAAAAAAAGCAAACTTCAAGCAGTGGTAGGAAGGTGAATTGAAGTTTTCCAGTGCAGTGGTCTTATGCCTCAAAAATATATTTAGAACTGGACCTTCATTCGGTTTAAAAGCTCATTTCACTTTTCTACCAATCGCAGTTGAGATGGCACTCTGCCTGTAATAGCAGCTATCAGACAAATGTACTTGGGCTCATATGGTCACATTATAGAAAATGGTGTAATCTCTTAATATCAAGATAGCTAAGCTGGAACACTAAACTTAAACAAGGAAAATTCCCTTCTATATCCAGCTTTTTGTCTCCATACAATTTCGGCTCTCTTGGTGTATGTGTGTGTGTATGTATATATATATATATATATATATATATATATATATATATACACATTTTCTAATATCCAGTTATACATTACCTATCTCATATCATTAGGACAACTAAGTTTATTTACTTAATACCAATGAAACATGATTTATATACTCTAATAAATTTGTTCTGTTGGGGTAAGCACAGTTCAAAATGAGTTTATTGTTTTAAATACTAAGGGCTTCCACAATGCTAGCTTGGCTCCCTTGAGAACTGTTGCGAAAAGAGGCAAAGGTTAACCATAAAATGGGTTGATCATAAGAGAGAGTCATGCGGCATAATTTGAGGCTTCATGGTGCTGTTACCAGGGCTGTTTAATATTTATACGAAGTTACTGCAAAAGTTCATGTGTAGCCCTGGAATTGGGCATCAGAATGTCAACAAAGCTAAGACTGGGTTCACAAAAACAAGTTAAGCCATGGTGGTTTAGCATGTTGTCTGAATTGAGCACTCTTCCTGCAGGGTGGTTTATAAGTCACCTCGGGCCTGGGGTGCCACAGTCTGTAGTAGGGTTTAATAAACCCACCATGGCTTATTGTGTTGTTCACATCCATAACATAACAAGCCATGGTCATGTTAAAAAAATAAGCTGGTTGGCAAGAGTGACAGGAAGGCTTGGCACTTTAGCCAAAGGGTTAGAAGGTGACCATCTTTCCCAGGCACTCTAAAGAGCCAAGGTAGTACTTGGAGACAACTGGGAAGAGCTTTCCTCCTCCCACCTGGTAGCAGGAGGCACTATTCAAAATTTGAGGAAACACCCAAGTTGGGAGGCAGGCTGGTCCTTTTAAATAACAAGCCTTGTCCCACCACCGCTGGAATTCCCCTCAGGGCTTGCCACATCTCAAGATGCTGTCACATGGGGTAACTTGCAGAACCAAGGGGACAGTTGGGGCTTCCTAGTACACCCCAAAAACCTGGTGAGCCTGCTTAGGAGGAGGAGAGAATTGAGGCAATATCCCCCAAAATAGATGTTATAGGTTCCTTGGTGGGGGTTGAGGGGTTGTATCCCTGTGTTATTCACATTTGAGAAAATGAACACACCCCGAGACTACATGTGATAAAATTTGAAATTAGAAACACCTTCAGTCAGTTTTGCAATGATTATACTGGCTGTCAGTTGGTTTGGAGGGGGGATTAGAATGTTGGTGTTTTATCTTCTAAAGCCTTTAACATCTTTTTAGAAACTGGTTTCCCCCCCTATATGAGCCCTCATGTGAGAAAGGTCATGATACCATCCAGAGGGCAAGTGACACCTGAGTTTAATCCTAATTGGTGCCCAGGTTTTGGTGCAAGCCACAAATCCTGTTGAAGCAATTTGAGAATTCAGACCACAGTGCAATCAAATCCAAAATGTATGTTAGTGGGAAGTTGCTAAGGAAGTGAAGAAAAGTTTGACTTTAAAAGTATAGCTCTTAAAAAGATGGGTAATTTAAAAGGAAGCTGGAAGGGTTGAAGGTAAAAGCTTTCCAAAATGCTTGAAGTCTGCTTGAAACCACAATAATAGAAGTTCAGCTAGAAAGTATACCACATATTAGGAGAGGAACCATCATGGCTAAGGGGAAATGTGTTTATATGCTTCCTAATGATCTAGACCCCTAAAATTTGGTGGATATATAGTTCAAGGCATGCTAGAGAAATCTGAAAACAGACATTTTTATATCTCTCCCTCCAAAGTAACCCCTCATATTCTTAAGATAGTGCTAGGCTTCTGCAGAAAACTGGACATTGTTACATACCTGTCTGCATAACCAAGGGCTGGTGTGTGTGTTGGGGGGCACCGTAGCTTATTTCCCCCTTTGTGTTCATTCAGACCCCATCATGGTCTGCATCAGGGCTGAGAATAGTTCAGGCTTTCAGGATCTAACTGGTTCATTACTAGAACCTGGAGATCCTGGTGCAAATGAGACACACATTTAGAATTATACAATTCAGAGCCCAGGAATTATTTCATTGCACATTCCCCCCCCCCCACACACACACACTCTTGGTTTAATCGATATTTCTCATTTCAGTAGTGAAGGAAAAACCAATCATTTAAATTAGGGAGGGTATAAAAGTCATTTTGTTGTTGCTGTTACTAAACAATGGGGAATCAGGAATTCTTACTAGTCAACCGCAAAACACTGTTCTCCTGATATTATTATTATTATTATTATTATTATTACATTTTTTTATACTGCCCATAGCCAAAGCTCTCTAGGCAGTTGACAGCAATAATCATAGAATCATACACTCAAGTCACCCATCCCACTTCTGCCCAGGCCTGACGCTGCTTAGCTTCCAAGATTAGGCAGGATCAGGCACTTCAGGCTACATGATAGAACCAGAACTATTTTGTGCCCACCTGTGGTATAACAGTAGTCAGTACTCTGATTGCTAGATATAATATTTGAAGGGGCAAGTTTGCATCTAGCAGTCAGAATCCAGCACAGAGAAATCCTTGTAATTCTTTACCATGTTGTTGAATAAATTGCATATTACTTGGGGGCTAGGACTCTATAGCACATTAATATATCATTGGAAAACTGACTCCTAAGACAATTGCAGAGACCAGGTAGTTGCTATGCAATGTAAACCCTTGGAAATACTGGGATGCCAAGAGGTAGAGGAAGCAGCTTAATTTAGGCAAATGATAAATTAGCATAACATTTGGAGCAAAGGTGATTCAGATGGGACTGTAGATGGCACTTCTGGTGATTTTCTAGTCACTGGCACCAGTATCGGACCATAATATCAGTACATAGCATGCTGTATATTGACTGAGAAAGATGTTTTCTTTATAGTTGTTCTTCAGACAAAAGCAATTTATTCATAAAAGGGTCAAAATTTCAATTTTCAGAATTTTCATTTTAAATTTAGCTACTTTTGGAAAAAAACTGTGGATGAAGCTTTAATAAAAGAAACCATTTTTAAAACAAATATGACTTTAACTTTTTAGATGTTAAAGCAGTGAGTACTGCAGCCCTTGTTCCAGATCCCTGTGTTGTGAATATGAAAAGAATTCAGGATGTTTGCATGGGCTGCTTTGGTTGCAGCTCCAAAGTCATTGCTAGTATTTCACTGCTGTCTTTACACATTTTTCTTGGGTATTCTCTTAGTTGGATGGTACTTCAGATTGGGATAGGTGAAGATGATAACTTGATACTTAGAAGAGGTTCTTCTCATGGTTCCTTAGAGAATTCTCTTTACCGCAGTCTGAGTGAGGCAACAGCAATAAGACTGTTGTGTTGTTTTCACCAGAAAATGTCATGTGGTTATTTTCAAAATGGGGAGGAGGAATTTCCGCCTGTATGCTATAAACTGAACAGTTCAGTGGAGCCTTAAGCTGAGAACAGGACAGGAGAGGAGAATCATCATTTCAGTACCTGGCTAAATATTGCCACTTACGTTCAAATACTAGAGCTCCCTCGTTCATGAATTTTGACACACCTGGAGAGTCACCATGCTGGCAAATTTATCTGATTTTCATCTCCCATTGATATAAAACTTGCTTGAAAATGGAGAAACAATAATGGCATTGGGGATTTGAGCTGGCAACTAACAATATGCTTTTAATAACATGGTCTACTCAGTTCCCATCTACATTTTCAAGTAGAAAATTTACAGGAAGACAGAAATTTTAATGTGATTGCATTCTCTGTCTCTTACAGGTAAAAGTGCAGTTTTGAAGTGCCTGTTAGATATTCACAAGATTTTTCGTGAGAATGATCCTGCGTATATTCTTAATGACCTCTACATCACAGATTACTGCATTTGGATTCAAAAAGCCAAGTAAGTTTTAAATCTGTAGTTCACTTGATAAAATCATTTTGGAATACCTGATCTGATAATCTCGTAGAAAAATTAGTGCAGATACTGCAAACATCCATCTAAGCTCTTACACAGAAATTTTTATCAACCCATTCCTTCCTGCACTATCCACTCATTGTGTTCTTGAAAGGCAAAAGTAGGAACTGAAGAAACTAGTCCCTGTCATTTACACAGAATTCAAAGTGCATTTTTATTAACTTTGATTCTGCAGACACCTCAAGCATTACCTTAAAAAGTTTACATGTCTTGTGAGAATGTGGAATATTTTGAGATGAGAGAAACAACTGACTACATTAAAGTAAAACTTCAAAATCATTGTGCGTTGCACTTACTCAGCTGAGGAGCTATATGAGCAGTTGTTCAGATTTTGTATAAAAGAACTGTATAATCTGATAAAGCAGATTCCTCCCATAAAGCTGTACACAGATGTCATGAAGGCACTTGATCTGTAGGCTGAATCTGTTTTGCTTACATACTTGGAAGGAAAGAGTTTCAAGATCAGACGGAAAAATGTGAGTTGGCACTAGGTAGCATAACTGGGCACAGTAGGGCTGGGGAAGCTTTTTTCTGTGGAGTGTGTATTTCCTCAAGGTGAGGAAAGTGTGAGTGAGAGGGGCAGGGAGCTGTGTGAGTGACAGACAGCCACACACACATACTCTGTCCCACTCTCATACTCACCCCAGTCACATTTGGCTTTTGTGATGTGGTGAGAAAAGGCCTTCCTTCCTCACCATGCAGCCCAGGAGACAAGTGACCAGTCCATGGACAAAGGGATCGTTCCTTTTCTTTATGTCTCGATCACTTAGCTTCTCTGCTTCACCATGAGAAAGGGACTCTACTTTTCAGTATAGTGAAATGCAGCTCCCTCTTTCCTCTGCCTCAGGAAAAGCTGAAAATTGGAGCTGTAGTGTCCTGCTTCAAAGCACTCCCAATGGAACAGGCTTCTCCAAGATTTCTCTCGTCCATTGCTTTTCCTGTTGAGAAAGGTGGGAGGCAAGGGAAACCTTAGGGAGCTATCTCTTTAAGCACATGGGAAAGTGGTTTTAAAATGGCTGGCTTCTTTGTCCCAAACCCTTGCAACAGAAGAGTTTCAGAAGACAGCAGCGTCTTGGTGATGCTTCAGTGGGCCACATGGAGCCCATGTTCCTCAGGAAGTTGCTGAACTGGGCCAGAGTTTCTCCAACACTTTCACAGATGTATTTCTATTTTATTTATTACATTTCTATACCACCCAATAGCAGAAGCTTTTTGGTAGGCTCGAATTGAGGGTAGGCATACATATGTGTCCATGTGAAAAGGGACCAAGTCTGTTGTTTGAACCTGGGATCTTTTGTAGATACTGCATGCTGGGTGTCATTTCTCTAATTATCCACCCAGATGTGGTCTATTGTAGGGATATGTGAGGTCGTTTCCCTTATGTAGAAGCCATGCCACCTGGATTCAGGTGACATGACAAGCTATGCCTGGGTAAGAAATTAGGCAAATAATGTCTGATACTTATGGCTGTGTGAACAGTCACCATGACATGGTTTAGCTGTGGTGATTGGGTTGATGTTTGTAGGATTTGAAATAGTTCTGCATCTATGAGAATTTGAATCTTTTTCCTTGAGTAGTTTGAGCCGAAATCAATTTCATTTGCATCCTACATGCCAGATTATTTGGGACATTTTGTATGTATTGTAGACAGATTATGCAATGTTAAAAGCCCTAGCAATACTTAAACATTCATCTACTGGAAATGTGGATAAATGGGACTGCCATGCAAATAGTTTTCCACTGCTGTGGAGTTGCTTATACAGGATATGAATAAGCAAAACAAAATTTTACGTTCAAAAAATGTTGTGGGTATATTATACTGTTTGAAAAAAGGTTGTTTCCATGTCAAACTTAAAGTGCTGTATAACACTAACTCCGCATTTTTGTGTGTTGCAAAACCTGTTCGCATGTTTCCCAGATTTTGTTTTATAACAACACCTGGAGTTATACAGCAGATATTCATGCAGAAATGTTCTACGATATCTTCTTGTTTCATCTGAGCTGGGGAGTGTCATTAGCAACATCAGGCTATTAAATCCATTTAAGAGAGAGATCTTGTGGCTACCTTGACAGTGTGTAGGATGCCATAGGATACACTGGATTGCAAATGTGAGGTCTGCAGCAATACTTTGATCTTGGTGGTGGGGACCATGATTGGACCCCCTCCCTTCCCCTTGCAGCTGGCATGGAAAAATCACACTGGCTGTTCTCTGAGGTCAGGGAGAGGGAGAGAGGGCAGTGCTCCAGCCTCCTTCCTTCACTCTCCCAGCTTGCTCGGGTGGATGGCAGAAACTGGTTGTTGCCTCTGCAGAGGCTGCTTCTTTGCCCTGGATGCTCATAATATCTAGGGCACAATTGATAGGATTGTGTCCTAAGTTGGTTAACCATTTCGGCGTGTTCTGAAGTTGGTAACCACTTTTTCCTGGTTTAGATGAAATGGGAAACCTTGGTTGATTGGATGCTTCCTTATTTGCTTTTCAGTTTGCACAAATGGAGGAACAAAGTAGCTGCATGTGTGCCCAAAGGCTTATATCTTTGTTTATTAAGCTACAGTATTAATTGTCTGAACCAAACCTCTGTGTATGTGTTATGGTGACAGCTGTTTGTTTTCACTCTCAGGAATACAAAGAAATCCCTGCTTGGTATTAGGCTAATACATAAAGGGTAGGTGCAGAACAGGGTTGGTGGACTTCAGGCTTGAGGAATCGACTTCATTTTTCCCTAGAATGCCACCATCAACCACCCTTAAGATCCAACTCCTTGTGCAAAGGATGCATATTTAGAATTAAATAATTCTCAGCCCAGGAATCTGGTGTAAGTAGCATACCTGAATGAAGCAATCTCTTCTTTCAGACAAAAATCCACTCCTGGTTACTCTAAACTTCCTTAACTTCAGCCATAGAATGGGAGTCAATTTGTTGCTGCTGTTAAACAATCAGGAGTCAGATCTACTAGTATCATCATTCTGTCTATTGCTTGTGTAGACTGTAGTCCTAATTTATATTCAATTTCTGAAGGCACCATGTCTGCACATGGACAAATATAATGGATGACTGAATAAGCAGACTGGAGAAATCAGCATGAATGAAGCTAACATTTTTGTAAAATAGGTTTTCCACCAAAAATAGTAGAACAGCTTTGCTTCTATTGTCAGTGAACATAAAATCTAGGAAAAACATAGACCATCTATTAACACATTCAGTGCAAGATTGTATGCTGTGTACCAGTAAAGCAGAACTTATTTTCTCTAGAAAGAGGGGAATTAAGCTATTTTACTTTAAAAAGACATGGTACAATTGTTGCATCACATTAAAGAAGTTTGAGAGATGGGCAACTTGAAAATCTCCTGTTGCTAATATTTCTGCTAAAACATATTGCATCATATTGTTAACAGCATCTGTAATAGACTCATAGCTGCCTGCTGTTAAGGGCCTCCACTTCTGTGACCATATGCAAAGGAAGATGGTCTTCGTAATACAGAAGAGGGCATCTTGGCAGACACAGCTTGTTAAGACAGGGTAAGGAAAGCAACATCTGCTATTTTCTTCTTTTCTCTTTTTCCCCTTCATTTTTAATACATGGTTTCCCTCTGGTTTGAATAGACCCCTGAATGTAGTTTTTGTGAGCTTCAGACTGCAGTTAACTGTCTTGCATAGTATTATGTGAATTGAGCATTGTTCTGTAAAAACTGTGGCATACCTGGATTTGGCTACATTTTATGTGTTTGTTGTCTGTTTCTGATTTAGAATTTCTCTGTGGTGATTTGAGCAGACTCATGGTTTGTACCTCTGCTTTTGGAACGTGCTTCTATTTTGATCCTGTAGCCTTCTGCTAGAAGAATGGTGAAGGGCTAATTAAAGTTCAACAAGTAGTGTAGTAACTTTCTCAGTAACCACAAGCTAGAGTAATGTTTTGGAGCCAAGCCTTATGGCCTTAAGCTTGTTAGGAAGAGCACCAGAGATAATTACCATGAAGCATCCTTTCCTCATCATTTCTTTGCTGAAGCAGGTTCACCCCTTACAACTTGCAGGAAGGTGGGGTTAGAGCCTCTGTGTACTAAAATACAGAGCAAGAGACACTGTCTTTTGGTTCTTGGCTTGAGAAGAGGAACTGACATGTCACTCACCCAGGCAGCTCTTGAGGCCCATGCAGCATCTCCTGGCTTATTCAGGCAACCGGGACTGCCGTACCGTCCTTCTAGCACTCCCTTGCACAAACAGTCTCCAGGACATTCACTGTTAAATTAATGAGTCTTGATGGAACTACTTCATCTTTTTCTCTTCAGTTTTAAAGAGTTCCCCTCTATATATCTATGACAAAAGGTGAAATACAACCCAAAACTATTTCCAGTGCATATGAAATTTCAAGCTGTAATGGAATAGTTTGTGAGGTGCCAATAGGTTTTGTTACCTTTGGAAGATTAATGCTACTGAGGTAAAGGTACAGGAACCCTACCTACCCCATCCATTTGGTCCTCTAAATCATAGACCACCCTCAGCATGGATATGCAATTGATGGAGCTCTTTTTTTGGAGAGATGACTTCTGCTGGTAACTCCTACATCCACAGGGAACTCCTACATCAAGTGAATGCACGTTCTTCATGAAAATACCAGACTCAATGCCCCCTGACAAACCCATGTATCAAAGGGCAGGACATGGACTGAAAAATTAGTGTCTGTCCTGTCCAGTCATTCCTGAGAATGGCAACATGGTGCCTGGAGGACCCCTTAGGAATCCCCCTCTTTAGCTTCTCATTGAATACTTCAAAGGGAGTTTAATCCTCCAATATTTCTTTCTTTCTCTTACAATCATGCCCCCCTCTCTCTTTCTTTTCTAATCTACCTTCCCTTTATGTATTATATAATGCCATACTGACATCTATAGCTACTTTCAGGGGAGAATGACTGCTTCTGGAAAGAAAACA